GAAAAATACAAGCACGAGGGACTGGGATTAACCTCCCAAAAGAGGACTCATGTCAGGAGAGCTGGCTGGAAAGAAGAAGGGCCCATTAGCATTGACGGGAAAGGGCAGACAAGCTCATCTTCAGCCCAGAGGGAAACACCGTGTTTAATCTCTCCATTTCCATGTTCAGCTGTCCCTTTTCACTGTCTGGTGAGACCTTCACTGTTCAGTTCAGCTCCTCAATGGAGGCAGACAGGGTCTAAACACCACGGGCTGCAGCACAGCACCCCAGATGAAGGAGCAGATGAAACAAGGGGTGGTCTGGACAGCAGTGGCTGTCATGATAGAGCTTCCCATCCTGTTTTCCCAGTCCCTGCTTAGCTTAAGTCTTAGATACACCAAGAGAAAGCTCTTCCTCACTCAGAGAAAGACTTCTCTGCCACAAAATGACTGGAGAAATCAAGTATCTCTCAAGATCCTTCTTTTCCTGCCTGGTGTCTTGCTGCTTCAAATAAGACTCAACATAGATCCTTTCATCTCTCAGGCTACACTCGTGTTAACAAATTCTCTTTGAAAAATGAAGTGCTGAACATCACTGACATCCAGGTGGAGCTGAACGTGCTTCAACCATCTATAGATAAAGAGTCATCACAGGCTCTTCAAAGATTCATCAACTGCGGGCAAGTTTGCAAGAGAAGACTTATGTAAAGCAACACTCTGCATCAGAGAGCTTGTGATATTTTTTCAGAGCATTGTTAAGTCACTCAATTAATGCTCCTTCCACTTTAAGCACACCACATGCACAGGAGGGGAAAGAAAAAAAAGAAAAAAGTTGTTTTTTTCAGATTTCATAAGCAACTTGAAAGTCACCACATAACACCAATACGGATGAGGGCCAGTGCACCTCCAGCAGCTGGAGATGAAGATTTGAAACAAGACTTGAGCATCTCTGTACCACACCATTACCACTGGATGCTTGGAAATGGGATAATGCAACATAAAGAAGACACAGACAACCTGTGTGTTAAAATCTTTAACCTAGAGCCATGGATGCAAGCCCTCACCCCTGCAATTCCGATACGCTACCCAGCATGAACACAGTACCCAGCAAGTTCTGCAACACCCATGAAAGACCAGAATTCCACAAAGAGCATCTAAACTACTGGTGTGACATGACGAGCCAATCCAGCAGCACGTCCTAGATACACAGGCTGCGATGTGCCTCTCGCTTAGACACCAATTTTTCCATTGACATCACAGCGATTTGCCTCAGTGTGGGATGAATGAATGAGCAACTGAAAAAAAAAACCCAACCCACCTAACACCTACCTACCTACCTGTAAGAAAGACAAAGAAGAATACCTGCTCATGCTGTTTACTATATACCATTTACTTGTCTGCTTTTAAAGGTCTAAAAGGATGCCTCACATTTATGGGAAATTTTCCATATTTTAAAAATACATCAGTTCTCCCAAGAAGGGGTTAATGTTCTTTGTGCATACACTTGGAAAGGGCGCAGTGCCATGCATTTAGATTCAGTCTAGGTAAAATGGTTTTACAAAACTAATTGATATAAACATTTAAAGGGACTCTAAAGGGGAGGGAAAAAAAGGAAAGAGTCACGTAGGGCTTTATTTGGCAAACCATCCTATTAACTGCAGACACATTTAGCTCAGGGAGATTAAAGCCAGAAGAAACCATTAGGTAATTTTTAATCTAACCTGCCATTCATCACAGGTACTTGCATCCTACTGATTTAGCTTATGCTTAAACACACAGCTGCACCAAGAAACCAACTGGAAAGAAACCAAAGTCACCCCAATTACTCATGCTATCTAAAGGAAACAAAGGAAAAAAATCCCAACAAACAGCATCACCGTTGTAAAAGAAAACTGGGGGCTTACAAATGCTTTCATTTTACTGATTGGCAAGTTTGAAGCTTCTTTTAATTAAGATTTAACACCAGTGCAACATCATAATAGAGGAAGAGATACGTAGTGAATAAAGCACTAGACTGGGGTTTATTTCCACAGTGTGCTCTGTAACCACGGGCAAGATTCAGAGCTCTTTCCCCATCTGTAAAATGGAGATAATCACATTGAGCCCTTCCTAGAGCTGCTGGGTACCTGGGGCTCTTTGCCCACATATGATCCAAGGATGACTATTACTTCACATTTCTTCCAGCTCCTTTTCCCTGGCTCCAGGTGCCCAGATAGGGTAATTTTCAAATGAATAAAACAGTAAGTGATTCTCCTTCCCTCTCGTGAACTTTGAAGTGATGCTTTTCGTTGATTATTTGCAATCACTGCTCCTCAGCTCAGATCCGTGTCTGTTTCAGGACAGAACACTGGACCTGGGAAAGCTCAGAAAATAAGATTTAAATGGAAAAGCAAACGTGCAGTACTCAGCTGGGGGCACCAATA